AAGCACAGTACCCTGGGGGACTGAGTACTGGAGCAGGCACAGTACCCTGGGGGGACTGTACTGGAGCAAGCACAGTACCCTGGGGGGACTGTACTGGAGCAAGCACAGTACCCTGGGGGGACTGTACTGGAGCAAGCACAGAACATTAGGAGACTGTACTAGAGCAAGCACAGTACCCTGGGGGACTGTACTAGAGCAAGCACAGTATCCTGGGGGACTGAGTACTGGAGCTCATCCCTGAGCTCAGTACGTGAGGGCTGGTCCAGCAAGATACGGGGCCGTGGAGGACCAGACCCTGCTGGACTGTAGAGCGATGGTCTCACTTCATGCAGGTCGGAGTTCAATCCCCGACCGTCCACCACAAGTGGTTGGCCACCATTCCTACCCTTCAGGTTAGTTACCTTTAAAGCTCAGCTCATACTAGGCACATGGTAGTTCCCGCCAACATGAAAGGTAATTTTAAGGTAATTATAACACAAATATAATCCAACGGCGGAATTATTATCTCTGTTAATTATCTGTAGTTTGTATACTTTAATTTTGTACCTGTAATATTTAGTGGGATAGTTATGAAACTGCAAATGTCAGTGATGAGAGGGAATGATTGGTACTTAATTACAACGATTGGTCACATCGACCACCTGTTGTTGCCTGGGGTGAGACCACCACCTGCTGCTGCTGCTGCCTGGGGTGAGACCACCACCTGCTGCTGCTGCCTGGGGTGAGACCACCACCACCTGCTGCTACTGCCTGGGGTGAGACCACCACCTGCTGCTGCTGCCTGGGGTGAGACCACCACCACCTGCTGCTACTGCCTGGGGTGAGACCACCACCTGCTGCTGCTGCCTGGGGTGAGACCACCACCACCTGCTGCTACTGCCTGGGGTGAGACCACCACCTGCTGCTGCTGCCTGGGGTGAGACCACCACCTGCTGCTGCTGCCTGGGGTGAGACCACCACCACCACCTGCTGCTGCTGCCTGGGGTGAGACCACCACCACCTGCTGCTGCTGCTGCCTGGGGTGAGACCACCACCTGCTGCTGCTGCCTGGGGTGAGATCACCACCACCTGCTGCTGCTGCCTGGGGTGAGACCACCACCACCTGCTGCTGCTGCCTGGGGTGAGACCACCACCACCTGCTGCTGCTGCCTGGGGTGAGACCACCACCACCTGCTGCTGCTGCCTGGGGTGAGACCACCACCTGCTGCTGCTGCCTGGGGTGAGACCACCACCACCTGCTGCTGCTGCTGCCTGGGGTGAGACCACCACCACCTGCTGCTACTGCCTGGGGTGAGACCACCACCTGCTGCTGCTGCCTGGGGTGAGACCACCACCACCTGCTGCTGCTGCTGCTGCCTGGGGTGAGACCACCACCACCTGCTGCTGCTGCTGCTGCCTGGGGTGAGACCACCACCACCTGCTGCTGCTGCTACTGCCTGGGGTGAGACCACCACCTGCTGCTGCTGCCTGGGGTGAGACCACCACCTGCTGCTGCTGCCTGGGGTGAGACCACCACCACCTGCTGCTGCTGCCTGGGGTGAGACCACCACCACCTGCTGCTGCTGCCTGGGGTGAGACCACCACCTGCTGCTACTGCCTGGGGTGAGACCACCACCACCTGCTGCTGCTGCCTGGGGTGAGACCACCACCACCTGCTGCTGCTGCCTGGGGTGAGACCACCACCACCTGCTGCTGCTGCTGCCTGGGGTGAGACCACCACCACCTGCTGCTGCTGCTGCTGCTGCCTGGGGTGAGACCACCACCTGCTGCTGCTGCTGCCTGGGGTGAGACCACCACCTGCTGCTGCTGCTGCCTGGGGTGAGACCACCACCACCTGCTGCTGCTGCCTGGGGTGAGACCACCACCACCTGCTGCTGCTGCCTGGGGTGAGACCACCACCTGCTGCTGCTGCCTGGGGTGAGACCACCACCACCTGCTGCTGCTGCTGCTGCCTGGGGTGAGACCACCACCTGCTGATGCTGCTGCTGCTGCTGCCTGGGGTGAGACCACCACCTGCTGCTGCTGCTGCCTGGGGTGAGACCACCACCTGCTGATGCTGCTGCTGCTGCTGCCTGGGGTGAGACCACCACCTGCTGCTGCTGCTGCCTGGGGTGAGACCACCACCTGCTGCTGCTGTTGCCTGGGGTGAGACCACCACCTGCTGCTGCTGCTGCTGCTGCTGCCTGGGGTGAGACCACCACCTGCTGCTGCTGCTGCCTGGGGTGAGACCACCACCTGCTGCTGCTGTTGCCTGGGGTGAGACCACCACCTGCTGCTGCTGCTGCCTGGGGTGAGACCACCACCTGCTGCTGCTGCTGCCTGGGGTGAGACCACCACCTGCTGCTGCTGCCTGGGGTGAGACCACCACCTGCTGCTGCTGCTGCTGCTGCTGCCTGGGGGTGAGACCACCACCACCTGCTGCTGCTGCCTGGGGTGAGACCACCACCTGCTGCTGCTGCTGCCTGGGGTGAGACCACCACCACCTGCTGCTGCTGCTGCCTGGGGTGAGACCACCACCACCTGCTGCTGCTGCCTGGGGTGAGACCACCACCACCTGCTGCTGCTGCTGCCTGGGGTGAGACCACCACCTGCTGCTGCTACTGCCTGGGGTGAGACCACCACCTGCTGCTGCTACTGCCTGGGGTGAGACCACCACCTGCTGCTGCTACTGCCTGGGGTGAGACCACCACCTGCTGCTGCTGCCTGGGGTGAGACCACCACCACCTGCTGCTGCTGCTGCCTGGGGTGAGACCACCACCACCTGCTGCTGCTGCCTGGGGTGAGACCACCACCTGCTGCTGCTGATGCCTGGGGTGAGACCACCACCACCTGCTGCTGCTGCTGCCTGAGGTGAGACCACCACCTGCTGCTGCTGCTGCCTGGGGTGAGACCACCACCTGCTGCTGCTGCCTGGGGTGAGACCACCACCACCTGCTGCTGCTGCCTGGGGTGAGACCACCACCACCTGCTGCTGCTGCCTGGGGTGAGACCACCACCACCTGCTGCTGCTGCTGCCTGGGGTGAGACCACCACCACCTGCTGCTGCTGCTGCCTGGGGTGAGACCACCACCTGCTGCTGCTGCTGCCTGGGGTGAGACCACCACCTGCTGCTGCTGCTGCTGCCTGGGGTGAGACCACCACCTGCTGCTGCTGCCTGGGGTGAGACCACCACCTGCTGCTGCTGCTGCTGCCTGGGGTGAGACCACCACCACCTGCTGCCTGGGGTGAGACCACCACCACCACCTGCTGCCTGTTATGGGGGTCACCTGACCCCTGTGGGACGCCACTGGGGTCAGAGCCTTGCAATTCTGAAATCTATTTTGTAACAACAGATTTTCTCACCCACTGAAACACATGTCCTCTGTACAGTGTGTTTCTTCGTTGTGATTTCGAGGTTCACATGAGGTACTGTGGAGGTTAGCCTCCTGTGCCACCTCACACTGGAGCCTCCTGTGCCACCTCACACTTGAGCCTCCTGTGCCACCTCACACTTGAGCCTCCTGTGCCACCTCACACTTGAGCCTCTTGTGCCACCTCACACTTGAGGAGGTGGCATCTCACTTTCCCTGATCTCTTCCGGCAGATGGAAGAGTCCATAATATTATGTCTCTTTCTTTCAGAGTTCTTATGTTTACTTTTAAGGGGGGTCTGAGGTATTTTTTTGTTTACGTTTCTTCATGATTTCCAGTGAGATGTTTAAGGCAGTTGTTCCGTTATTCTTGCGGTTCTTCCAGCGTCTTGGAGGGCCTGGCTGGCGTGTCCCTGGACCGGTATAAATCATACTAACTTCTCCCACTCTTGTATGCTCTGGGCACTTTTCCATGAAGACAAACTGGTGGCGTTGTATATATGATTGGTCTACTGTTGTGTCAAATGCTGTTGCTGGTGGGGGCTGCTGTGTTTGTTGGTGCTACTGTTGCTGGTGGGGGGCTGCTGTGTTTGTTGGTGCTGCTGTTGCTGGTGGGGGTTGCTGTGTTTGTTGGTGCTGCTGTTGCTGGTGGGGGCTGCTGTGTTTGTTGGTGCTGCTGTTGCTGATGGGGGCTGCTGTGTTTGTTGGTGCTGCTGTTGCTGGTGGGGGCTGCTGTGTTTGTTGGTGCTGCTGTTGCTGGTGGGGGCTGCTGTGTTTGTTGGTGCTGCTGTTGCTGGTGGGGGCTGCTGTGTTGGTTGGTGCTGCTGTTGCTGGTGGGGGGGCTGCTGTGTTTGTTGATGCTGCTGTTGCTGGTGGGGGCTGCTGTGTTTGTTGGTGCTGCTGTTGCTGGTGGGGGGCTGCTGTGTTTGTTGGTGCTGCTGTTGCTGGTGGGGGCTGCTGTGTTTGTTGGTGCTGCTGTTGCTGGTGGGGGGCTGCTGTGTTTGTTGGTGCTGCTGTTGCTGGTGGGGGCTGCTGTGTTTGTTGGTGCTGCTGTTGCTGGTGGGGGGCTGCTGTGTTTGTTGGTGCTGCTGTTGCTGGTGGGGGCTGCTGTGTTTGTTGGTGCTGCTGTTGCTGGTGGGGGGCTGCTGTGTTTGTTGGTGCTGCTGTTGCTGGTGGGGGGCTGCTGTGTTTGTTGGTGCTGCTGTTGCTGGTGGGGGGCTGCTGTGTTTGATGGTGCTGCTGTTGCTGGTGGGGGGCTGCTGTGTTTGTTGGTGCTGCTGTTGCTGGTGGGGGGCTGCTGTGTTTGTTGGTGCTGCTGTTGCTGGTGGGGGCTGCTGTGTTTGTTGGTGCTGCTGTTGCACTTGCTGCTACTGCTGCTACTGTTGCTACTGCTACTACAGCACTCAGACTGCTGCTACTGGACTTGCTACTTTTTTACTTACAAGAAAGTGTGTGTTACTTACAAGAACAAACACTTATCCTGCCACTTGGAGAACATGAGTGTGTTCACTCTTGTACTCACCTTGCGAGGGTTGAGCTTTGGCTCTTGGGTCCCGCCTCTCGACTCTCTCGTAACGTCATACTCGTGGTCACGTGACCAGCCGAAACGTCGCTTTTATGTCGTATTTGTGGTTCTTTTGTAATATTAATTTCATGCCAGTGACGCCAGAGGCGGGGAAGCCAGGTGAAGCCATAGGAAGCCAGGTGAAGCCAGATGAAACCAGATGAAGCCATGTGAAGTCATAGGAAGCCAGATGAAGCCATGTGAAGCCATAGGAAGCCAGGTGAAGCCATGTGAAGCCATAGGAAGCCAGGTGAAGCCATGTGAAACCAGATGAAGCCTGAGGAAGCCAGATGAAGCCTGAGGAAGCCAGATGAAGCCATGTGAAGAAAAGGAAGCCTGAGGAAGCCATGAGTAGCAGGAGGAAGCTAGAGGAAGCCAGATGAAGCCAGATGAAGCCAGATGAAGCCAGGTGAAGCCAGATGAAGCCAAATGAAGCCAAATGAAGCCAAATGAAGCCATGAACCGTGCCGTGGACTACGAGGGAGGGTCGTAAAACCACCTTAATATTTCCTGAGGGTGAGTGTTCCCTCCCTACACAGTGAAGGGCCGCGGCCCCTGACTGACAGATGTATAACTTGTAGCACAGTTGTGGAGGGAACATTGTAAACGATTTTACACTAAATATTACAACCCATGAATATGTAAAATGGCCAATATTTTACACGAATTATTCTAATAGAGTATTGGAGAGAAGTTGAGGAAAGAGCTCTGTAGGTGGAGGGGGGGGGGGGGAGGGGGGGGAGAGAGAGAGAGAGAGAGAGAGAGAGAGAGAGAGAGAGAGAGAGAGAGAGAGAGAGAGAGAGAGAGAGAGAGAGAGAGAGAGAGAGAGAGAGAGAGAGAGAGAGAGAGAGAGAGAGTGAGAGAGAGAGAGAGAGAGAGAGAGAGAGAGAGAGAGAGAGAGAGAGAGAGAGAGAGAGAGAGAGAGAGAGAGAGAGAGAGAGAGAGAGAGAGAGACAACGAGAGCGAATGGGAGAGAAAGCCACCTCTAGAGAGTAAATTAGAGGTATAAAGGCTCTATATAGAGATATAGAGGTATAGAGGAATCTCTATATAGAGATATAGAGGTATAGAGGAAACTCTATATAGAGATATAGAGGTATAGAAGAAACTCTATATAGAGATATAAAGGTATAGAAGAAACTATATTTAGATATAGAGGTATAGAGGAAACTCTATATAGAGATATAGAGGTATAGAGGGAACTCTATATAGAGATATAGAGGCGTAGAGGAAACTCTATATAGAGATATAGAGGTATAGAGGAAACTCTCTATATAGAGATATAGAGGTATAGAGGAAACTCTATATAGAGATATAGAGGTATAGAGGGAACTCTATATAGAGATATAGAGGCATAGAGGAAACTCTATATAGAGATATAGAGGTATAGAGGAAACTCTATATAGAGATATAGAGGTATAGAGGAAACTCTATATAGAGATATAGAGGTATAGAGGGAACTCTATATAGAGATATAGAGGCATAGAGGAAACTCTATATAGAGATATAGAGGTATAGAGGAAACTCTCTATATAGAGATATAGAGGAAACTCTATATAGAGATATAGAGGCATAGAGGAAGCTCTGTATAGAGATATAGAGGTATAGAGGAAACTCTATATAGAGATATAGAGGTATAGAGGAAACTCTATATAGAGGTATAGAGGTATAGAGGAAACTCTATAGAGGAGATATGATTCTCTATCGAGGACATATAAAGGAAACATACCACTTCCTTGGCGCTTCCTTTTGAGAATTGCTTACTAAGAATATGAAGCTGCCTCTATGAAGAAGCTCCAGAAGCCACCTCCCTAGATGGGCCTGACGGCTGAGTGGACAGCGCTCGGTATTCGTAGTCCTGAGGTTTCTAAAATAAAGTTTCTAATTCGTAGTCCAATAGGCAGAGTTTATTTCACCCTGATGTGTCTGTTCACCTAGTAGTAAATAGGTACCTGGGAGAATTTTCAGAACGTCAGAATAGTTAAATTATAACAAGTTGTTCAACTAGGAGGTGGGGATGAAGAGCTAGAGTCTTCTTTTCCCCGTAGCCAGGAACAGGTAAGCACTACAAAGGATCCCAGGACAAACCATCTAACCTATCAAGGATCAATGGTTGTTAGTGTGAGATAGCACCACCAATATCACCATGGTTTGGTTCCTCACCAGACCTCACGTGCAGAGGCGGGACCAAAGAGCCAGAGCTCAACCCCGGCAAACACAACTAGGTGAGTACACGTATTTTGACGTAGTGGGATAGCGTTAAGAGTCTAGGGAGAGAGAGAGTCTCTCTCTCTCTCTCTCTCTCTCTCTCTCTCTCTCTCTCTCTCTCTCTCTCTCTCTCTCTGTCTGTCTGTCTGTCTGTCTGTCTGTCTGTCTGTCTCTCTCTCTCTCTCTCTCTCTCTCTCTCTCTCTCTCTCTCTCTCTCTCTCTCTCTCTCTCTCTCCTTGATCATATATCTCTTTATTTCTGCCACCAACGTGAGCAACCCAAATGCGAACAAGGTTGAATGGGCCCCAAGCCAATATGCAACTGAAAACTCCACACCCCAGAAGGAGTCGAAGATAAATAGTCGTATATAAATGGTTTTTGTAGTAAATGTAGTTGAACGCACGACCCAGCAGCAAGAAACCAAGCTTTCACGATCAAATATCGCCAAGATCTGATTCGAAATCAGATACACAAGGCAGAAAATAAGATCAACGATAGCAAAGCGCAATTACTTCATGCTACAGATCAATGGACAAACACCAACATCGACGAAGACCTCCGTACTCGAATCGACCAACACCTCGATATTCTTGAAGATCGACATCGCCACAGCACGTCGACCCTTACGTCGACCGTGCTCTCAGCCACAGCTCTGGTTGGAAGCAGGTCGACGAAGCACTCTGTAGGGTAAGGCAGGTCCTAGTCAACAATGGCTTCTCTAACGGTCGTGTTGAAGACGTCATCAAAAGAAAGGTGAAAAGGAACTTCTTTTCGACGGCTCATAAAACGGAGGAAAGGGTCCTGAAAGATATTGTTGATAGCAACGTTATCACCACAGACAAAAATCAAAAGATACAACTGACAATTTACTACAAAAAACAAAAAAACGACCAGCCTACTCCTGAAGATCTCTCCAGACACCAGACAGAACGTCTTGAAGAACACCAACGTCGTCTATGCCTTCACATGCCCACTTGGGGACTGTCAGCCCCAAAGATCTCAGTATATAGGCAAGACAACAACGTCTCTTTCTAGACGATTAACAATGCACAAACAACAGGGCTCCATCAAGGATCATATAATCTCCTCAGACAACCAGACCATCACCAGAGAAGTCTTAACAAGCAACACAGAAATTATCGACAGATACAACAACAACAACAACAGGAGACTCGACATCAGCGAGGCACTACACATCAAAAAGTCAACACCAGTAATCAACAGCCAATTAACACATAATTAAATTCTACCCACTTCAAGACCCCGAGCCAACAAAGAAACAAGAAGATAAAACACGCAATATACCCATTGATTCGTGTTTTGAGTATGTAAAATTGTCTTTACCCATTGATTTGTGTCCTATCACCTCACCCAAGAACGAATATAAGCATGAAACAGAGTATGTTAAATTGTCTTTGAAAATGTAAGAAGCGTCTTGCGAAACGCTTCTAGGCGTCAGACCATAAATAAAGTATGAAAATGAACTTTGGAGAGTTAATTTTTCAACTACCCTCAACAGTGAAGAAAAAACATAAGAAATATTGACAAGATTTGTGTTAGAATCATTAATCTTACTCTTTCGGTCATATTCAACAATAAATACTTAGGAATATATATCTTTATAGGTGGGGAGAGTCCTGTCGAATGGCCTACAATCATCTCTCTTTCAACTCTCCCCCTCTCTCTCCTCTCGGTCCTCTCACTCCCTCTCTCTCTCCTCTCACTCTCCCTCTCTCTCTCTCTCTCTCTCTCTCTCTCTCTCTCTCTCTCTCTCTCTCTCTCTCTCTCTCTCTCTCTCTCTCCCTCTCTCCCCCTCTCTCCCCCCCCGTACCATTGTCTGGGACCGTGGTAGCGCCAGTTGCCTCACCGCGAGCCATTAAGGACCAGTATTGACTGAACAAGCAACACACAGCTAAACGACTTTCACCAGTAACCACAACGGTAAGAAAATTGTCTTACTCTTTCCTCACACACCCACCACACACCCACCACACACCCACCACACACCCACCACACACCCACCACACACCCACCACACACCCACCACACACCCACAACACACCCACAACACACCCACCACACACCCACAACACACCCACCACACACCCACAACACACCCGCCCTCCTAACAGAACGTCGCATTTGTGACGTATAGTCCACCTAAAGCCAAAAATCGTCGTACTACAAAATGAAAGCAACTCGCGAAATTGACACAGACCCGTTTTCTGTTTTGGGTTCTCTGGAATGGTTAGGATAAACACATTTATTACAACTGTTTCTTAACGTTGGGGAACCTAGACCGGGCCCAAAGCTCAACCCAACAAGCACATCTAGGTGAGTACACAACTAGGTGGATACAACTAGGTGAGTACACAGCTAGGTGAATACAACTAGGTGAGTACGGAGCTAGGTGAATACAACTAGGTGAGTACACAACTAGGTGAATACAACTAGGTGAGTACGCAGCTAGGTGAATACAACTAGGTGAGTACACAGCTAGGTGAATACAACTAGGTGAGTACGCAGCTAGGTGAATACAACTAGGTGAGTACACAGCTAGGTGAATAAAACTAGGTGAATACAACTAGGTGAATACAACTAGGTGAGTACACAACTAGGTGAATACAACTAGGTGAGTACGCAGCTAGGTGAATACAACTAGGTGAGTACACAGCTAGGTGAATACAACTAGGTGAATACAACTAGGTGAGTACACAGCTAGGTGAATACAACTAGGTGAGTACAACTAGGTGAGTACACAACTAGGTGAGTACAACTAGGTGAGTACACAACTAGGTGAATACAACTAGGTGAATACAACTAGGTGAGTACACAACTAGGTGAATACAACTAGGTGAGCACACAGCTAGGTGAATACAACTAGGTGAGCACACAGCTAGGTGAATACAACTAGGTGAGTACACAGCTAGGTGAATACAACTAGGTGAGTACACAGCTAGGTGAATACAACTAGGTGAATACAACTAGGTGAATACAACTAGGTGAGTACACAACTAGGTGAATACAACTAGGTGAGTACGCAGCTAGGTGAATACAACTAGGTGAGTACACAGCTAGGTGAATACAACTAGGTGAATACAACTAGGTGAATACAACTAGGTGAGTACACAGCTAGGTGAATACAACTAGGTGAGTACAACTAGGTGAGTACACAACTAGGTGAATACAACTAGGTGAATACAACTAGGTGAGTACACAACTAGGTGAATACAACTAGGTGAGCACACAGC